AATTTATGAAACTGGCTGCTATCCTCAACAGTGGTTACGCTCTACCTTTATTCCCCTGCCCAAGAAAGTCAATGCAAAAAGATGTGAGGATCACAGACTCATTAGCCTGATGAGTCACACTTTAAAGATATTCTTAAAAATACTACATCAAAGATTATACAAAAAATGTGAAAGGGACATCAGTGATTCCCAGTTCGGGTTTAGGCAAGGTTTAGGAACACGAGAAGCAATAGTAGCAACACAGGTACTGGTCCAAAATTGTTACGATCAGAGGAAGGATGTGTTCCTATGCTTTTTAGATTACAAAAAAGCGTTTGATCGTGTCCAACACCACAAGTTAATGCAGATTCTCAAGAAAGTTGATATAGACCAAAAAAGACATAAGATGCATTGAAAACTTGTACTGGCATCAAACGGCACAGCTAAAAATAGACAATTCTATATCTAAGCCCATACATATAAGAAGAGGCGTTCGACAGGGGTGTGTGCTTTCCCCTCTTTTATTTAACATTTATTCAGAAGCCATATTTCAAGAGTCTTTGGAGGATGCAGAGATGGGAATCAAGGTGAATGGAGTATTGATCAACAACATACGATATGCTGATGATGGTGTCTTAATTTGTGACAACATAGTCGATCTTCAACAACTTGTCACTATAATCGGAGAATACAGTGAGCGAATGGGACTAGAGATTAATACCAAAAAGACCAAATTCATGATCATCTCCAGAAACTTGGATGCATTTGAAAACTCCACCATAACACTGAATAGTAAATCCATAGAAAGAGTGAGTAAATTTAAATACCTGGGATCGTGGCTTTTTGAAGACTGGGCATCGGACAGGGAAGTAAAATGTCGCATTGAGCAAGCTCGACAAGCTTTCGTAAAATTCAAGAAGGTACTGACTTGTTCTGAGTTCGATCTTCAACTGAGACTAAGGTTTACTAAGTGCTACGTATGGTCAGTGCTGCTATATGGCGTAGAGGGCTGGACACTCAAAACGAGAGATATAAACAGATTGGAAGCTTTCGAAATGTGACTTTATCGCCGTATCCTAAAAATACCATGGACAGCGAAAATCACAAATATAGATGTCCTTAAAAGAATAAACCAAGAACGCCAACTTTTCGAAACCATCAAGAAAAGGAAAACGGCGTATCTAGGTCACATCATGCGAAATGAAAAATACCAGTTCCTCCAACTTATAATCGAGGGTAAAATTGAAGGCAAGAGAGGAATGGGACGCAAGAAAATGTCCTGGCTCCGAAACATAAGGCAATGGACAGGGATTAACGACATACAATCTCTGATACATATTGCAAGAAATAGAGAGTTAATGGAAAATGTGATCGCTAACATCCATTAGTGGATTTGCATCTGAAGAAGAAGATGCTCATATGAACTCAAATCCCCAAATTATAATCTTACAAATAATTCATACCTAGTCACAGAGGTTATTGCTTCCTTCATACTATATACCAACAAACTTTGAACTATTTGCTTACATTACAATTCATTCTACGCCTTAATTGTGACACTTAGGAAGTTCAATTAGAAAATATATTATTCGGCAATTTGCCGAATGTCACTTATACACGGTGAAACTATAAAATATTAAGAAGTTAAGAATAATGTGAGATTACAAATTAAGGGGTTAATTTGTGATTGAACAGGTGGACTGTAGCCAAATTTAGAGCCACTGTGATAAACCGTGGTAAAATTATTTTACATTTCATCACGAAAGTTCGGCGTCACACATGTGTGTCAGCAGAATTTCACCGTCACACGTGTGACGGTTGATCGTGAATGTGTTAAATAATATAACATAATATAAAATTATTGTAACATAACTTGTCTGGATGGGAAGTTAGGGATACAAAAATAAGAAAAAATCCAAGTGTAAGATAGTTCACCTAGCAAACCGGCGCTCAGTTGTTGTGAAGGACACAACGGTGAGCTTTTGGACGTGGGTCAATAGATTTGGGATGGGGGTATATTTAAAAAATTTGGGGTAATTAAAATGTACCAATGAAAATGAGAAAATTTGGTTCTAAAAGAAAGGGAAAAAATAAAGGGTGCCACGTAGTACTTTATCGAGAGACGAGGAAAACTTGACATTTGACCTATGAGAAGATTGGTTTAAGAAGGATAAAATACCATAGACTAATCCTATAAAAAAACCAGTATGCATACGTAGTAAAAAAAACACACTTATCTTATAATAACTCTCTATACTTCTAGTAGATTTAACTTCTTATTTGTTACCAGAGAACTACAAGAAGGCGTATTAGTTAACGGAATGCGTCTAAACAACATTAGATATGCCGACGACGCAGTAGTTTTTGCAGATAGTCTGGACGGTTTGCAAAGAATAATGTCGCGTATATCAGATATAAGTAAAGAACACGGACTTGATCTTAATACAAAGAAAACAAAGTACATGGTAGTCAGTAACCGCGAAATATTAAATACACAGCTTTTGGTTAACCAACAGCCAATTGACAGAGTGGACAGCTACACATACCTTGGTAGCAACATTAACAGCCAATGGGATCACTCCAGTAAAATAAAACAACGCATAGGAAAAGCGAGATCAGCGTTCATAATGATGAAGCCTCTTTTCAGAAGTCACGATTTACCACTTGCTACCAAAATATCTCTCATTAGATGCTATGTATTTTCTACGTTATTATACGGAGTAGAGGCCTAGACACTTTCCGAAACTTCCTTAAGAAAACTCTAGACATTCGAGATGGGTGGATCGTGTGACTAATGTTAAGGTCCTACGTAGAATAGGCAAGGAATGCGAGATTATTAACACCATTAAAGAGCGCAAACTAGAATATCTTGGCCATGTTATGAGGAATGAACAGAGATACGGCTTGTTGCAACTCATTCTTCAGGGCAAGATATTTGGAAAGAGAAGACCGGGGAGAAGAAGAATATCAGAATAATATCTCAGGAAAAACCTGAGAAAGTGGTTTAATACATCGATAACCGGACTATTCAGAATAGCAGCAAGCAAAGTTAGGATAGCCATGTTGATCGCCAACATCCGGAACGGATAGGCACCGTAAGAAGAAGAAGAAAGTTAACATGTGTATTTCTTCAGTTAACCAGAAAGAAAACAAATAGCGATCTTATCTCCAATATGTGGATAAGTTTTAAAATTAATTTCATTTTACATAATACTGCTCTAGACTTCACGGACTAATTTTTAACTGAATTAAAACTTATCACTTTATTTTATCTTGGTTTAACTGTTGTACTTTATTCGTAGTAGTGCACTACATTCTCGATGTTTCCATCTTTTTGCTACATGTTCAATTGTGACAAAACAAACTAGAAACAGGCCAAACCTGAACGTGACTCCATCGTACTCTCACGGCTGTCAATATCGAAGTCATTCAATGACAAAGTTCGGACCTCCACAATAAAAGCGACCGTTTCTTACGGCCGCCTCTCCGAGAAGTGAAATCGTCAGTCTAAATCATTCTCTTGCCATCATAGGCGGATATATTTTTATTTATTTCCTGCGTTAATATCTATAACAGACTCCAAAATGTTAAGATTATAAATCTCAGAAATACACGGGGTGAAACGAAAATGCTACATTATAATAAAACCAACTTGGTAATTCATACTACACAAACTAGAATTCTGTGAGGCAAGTTCGCACACTGAGTAAGATGGTTGATAGTATATGTGATTCAATTTACAGTTTGTGTAGCCACATAGTACGGACGGGAAAAAGGGTCAAATCTGAATTTGTATTTTGTGAATATTCCTGACGTCCTGGACATTTTCTCATAGAATTTCGTTTTCAGCACATATACAATTACATAAGAATTGGTTGAAATTATTCAAACAGCTTTTTGTTTGCAGACCTGTGTTACTGTAGTAGTATTTAGGGCAGACTGTAGACAAGCAATAAATAAGTAAATCAAAAATAAAAAGAGAAATCAAACGATTTCTACCTGGCGAAATCGAATTCAAATTTTTACCACTGTCCTTTCTAAAACTTGCAAAGCAAACAGCTTAATAAATTACTCGGCAAGGGACTCTAAAATTGCACTCCACATGCCGTTCATCATGGCCAAAATTCGATTTCTGATACTCCAAACGGAGTAAAGAAATAAAACATAATGACGGTACTTAGAATTTCCCGTCGTAACAAAAAGAGAAATCAAACGATTTCTACCTGGCGAAATCGAGTCGAAATACGTATAAGCGGCTTGCCGCTGCTTTGTATCGATACAAAAATATAGTACCGTCATTATGTTTTATTTCTTTACTCCGTTCGGAGTACCAGAAATTGAATTCACTACGAATTTTGACCACGATGAACGGCATGTGGAATGCAATTTTAGATTCCCTTGCCGAGTAATTTATCAAGCTGTTTGCTTCGTAAGAAAGCACAGTTGTAAAAATTTGAATTCGATTTCGCCAGGTAGAAATCGTTTGATTTCTCTTTTTGTTATTAGATGGCATAGTTACGTCCGTAATAGTTATTTTGATAACTATTGTCTACGACGGGAATAGATTTTGTTTCGATTCAGAGTAGTGGCTATACCGTTCTATTCTATTCTAAGAGACCTAAAGAAGTCGAAATACGTATAAGCGGCTTGCCGCTGCTCTGTATCGAAACAAAAATCCAGTACTGTCATTATGTTAAATCAAAAATAGTTTTGTCACCTCTTAAACGATCAGCTGAATATGGAAAAAATAATAAAGAGCAGAAATAAACCAATCAGAAATTTTGTCTAGGACATTTTTTGACCGATGGAAATTTTAATTTCGGTGCTTAAGTTTATGCATAATTTCGCCTGTTTATGTATTTTTATAAAAAAAATTACCTACGATATATTCTTAAATTCTAAAATTTAAAATTACTTTTTTAGTTTATGGAGATTCTATTTCTTTGCTGTCATTTTAAAACATATTATCTTGAAAGATATTTGGAATCGACAATAGTATAATTTAAAATTTTATTTTTTAGGGCATTGAATATGTTTTTGGAATCATTGGTTATCCAGTTATTGAACTTAGCATGGCATTACAAATGGCCGATATTCACTACATTGGTATGCGCAATGAACAAGCAGCTTGTTATGCAGCTCAAGCTATAGGTTACTTAACTGGCAATCCGGGAGCTGTATTGGTAGTGTCAGGTCCAGGACTGTTACATACATTTGGTGGTTTGGCCAATGCACAAATAAATTGTTGGCCAGTTCTTGTATTAGGTGGATCTGCTCCACAAGATCATGAAGGAATTGGAGGATTTCAGGAGTGTAATCAGGTAAGAACGTTTGCTGTTTAAAACATATGATTATCTCTTTTCTTCTTTTAATTCCATCTATTTCTCCTTTCAATACGCTTTCATCAGTGTTTTAACCAAACCGAAGAAGTTCTGAAATTCAGTTTTTGTTATGGCCTTCGGAGCTGTCGTCGAAATCTTACCCTTTAAGGGACATTTTCAGTTTTTGAACTACGAAAAAGTTATAGGTTGTTATTTGGTACACACTTGAATTATTCTCAAATTGTTAGTTAAATTCTCGAATTGACTTTTAGGAATTTCAAATTTTTTGTCTAGTTCATGCAGTTAAACCACGATCTTAAATCGCAAGTTTCATACTTAGATCTTTTCCAATCTTTCACTGTTAGTTGTGTTTTGCTTATACAATCATACAAATGTATGATGTACAAATACATGAAAGTACAAATAAAACTCACTTGCTGGAAAGTAAATATCATTTTTTGGAAAAAAATCAATATGGATATGTGGCGACCAACAATGATGTGGGAACAAGTAAACTGATCTCCTTGACATATTGGCCAGCTCTGTGTAAGTTGAAAACACCGCCAAGGTTCCCAGTTTGAGATTGCTAGCATACAGATACGGAAAAAATTTATAGTTAGTATTACAAAATTAACGAGATACCTAACAGAGATATTAACAATATGTTAATTTCCCAAAAAAAAAAAATACAAAATATATGGTTAAAACAGCAAAGCTACTAAGATATAAATTAGAGCTGGAAAGAAATGATGGAATTTAAATATCTGGGCATCACACTATCTAGTTACGGAAAACTCAAAACAGAAGTGGAAGATCAAGTGAATAGAACAAACAGAGACGCACGTTGCCTGAATTAAACAATATAGAGAAATAAATAATAAGAAGAATTTATTTGAGAAGTATCTATGATTTGTTTTTAATCAGGAGAAGTAAACTAAAAAGACATATGCACACCCAAGAAAGTTACTAGAAAAATCACCAAATAAATCTTCTTTTTTGGTTGATTTTCTCGAATCAGTATCGGACAACCTCACACGTCGATTCTAACCTAACTTTGTTTATGTTTGAATAATAATTTTTTCCAAGTTACTTCCTATATATATATATATATATATATATATATATATATATATATATATATATATATATATATAAGGATCACTCAGACGAGTGGTGGGTTCTTATATCGGTCTCTAGGTGGAGAAATAAAAGACAAAGTTGATAGGCTACTTTATCTATTTTGAAGACGTTTCGCTTTCGAGTTTTGAAAGCATCATCAGTTCATCTAAAAAATTTTACAATATGAGAACCACACAATCATGGAAACGATGTTAATTGTTACCTTAAAAAGATATGTAGCAGTCAATGTTATTAACAATAATGTGAATGAAACTAAGTAAATGGACATAATACGCTGATTTTGTATAAACAGTTAAGTAACTAACAACATATATGAACTTATAAAAAATTAGCACAGCAAATGACCATGTGGTCTAAAGTAAATTCAATGTTATTTAATGTTAATTAGTGAGTAAGAACCAAGAAAATCATAGATAACTTCCAACTATTTAATGAATATTAAGCTTTGATTTTAACTTTAGGTAGCATTATAAGTGATATTAATAAAATTTTAAAAAGTAGTATAAATGAAGTTACCGATCAAAGCCCTATGAATGTCGCCGGGAAAATGGCGTTTAATGAAACAGGAACGAACTAAACCGCGAAAAGACAGCCAACCTTGAGGTCAAAAATACTTTCGACAGATCAACAAGGTGTAGGTACCAACCCAAATTTTGGGCGGTCAATTTAAGTTTAAATGAGTTTGGATGACTACCCGGTTGCAAAAGACAACACAGTGAAAAAAGTTGGTAGTGTAATAGCAACTCCCCTCACTAATCAGTCCAAATTTACAAACAGGAGATTTTCATTCAACCTCATAAGTATGTAATAACGTTAATCATTATGGCTAGTTAAACAGCCACAGGTGGTTAACGATTCGTTAATTTCCAAACAGCCCAAGGTTCAATATACTTGGAACTGTGATTTGCAAAGGATTCTATGAATCAATTACAATATTTGTATTATTTTAGTATAAAATTGGTAGCACTAATCAAAGTAATTAGTGTATGGAAATGCAATGTAAGTTGCATATGTAATAGTAAAATTAAGTAAAGAATATTAAGTTATTTTATTGAGATATTTATGTATTTTATTTCTATTTTATGTATATAAATTATTTTATGAAAAATGGAAAAAGGTTCAAATAGTACACCTAATATGACATTAATGTAGTGAAAAGATCAAGTAGCCTAATTCTGCAAAATTAAAGCATGATATATTTGGCTCAAGTTACTTATGTCAGTTCTCTTATTCAAAGCATTAGGGTGTTTTAATATTGAACACATTTCCAAAAACTGTCTTTTAGCTAGATTGCGTTCAGTGGCAAGGATCTTAACTTCATTGAAATCCACTTCATGTTTTGTATTTATCGCATGTTGTGCTAGGGCACAAGTGTGTTTCGATAAATTAATGTCGCTACGATGTGAAGTGAGACGACCTTTTAATGATCTACCAGTTTGACCAATGTAACATAAATCGCAATTAGCGCATGGAATTTTATAAATTGTGTTCACTTGTTCCAAAGTGGACAAGGGTGTTTTAGTTTTAGAGAACAAATTTCTAACAGTTTTGGCATTCTTAACAGCAATTTTAACAGGTATATTATTTTGTTTATACAATTTAATAAGCTTCTCAGTAACTTGAGGGAAATAAGGTAAAGAAGAATAATGTGTGATAGTATTCTCAAGAACAGTATTATGCAGAACAGTGCTATTTATTGAATTATTTGAGATGTTTCTAAGTTGGTCACCATCGGGTATGTCATAAATTGAGGATCCATAACTATGTGAATAAAGGTATTTATTGATGATAGAGGAAGGATATGAATTCTCTATTAGAATATTTCTCAATAACTTAAAGGATTCCCTTCGATTAATTGGATGTGTCAATTTATTTAATCTGTAGCTCAAAGCTTTTATAAGGTTTAGTTTGTATTTCATGGGATGACAGGAATGGTAGTTAAGGAACCTATTAGAGGCCATTGATTTTCTATACCAACTTGTGGTTAGGGTGTTGTCTCCCATTCTGATGACACGCATGTCAAGGAAGGGTATACTATTGGTGGTAGTGTCCTCAAGTTCAACAGTGAACTGTAAATGAGGATCAAACTCATTAAAGAGGGATAGGGTACCCTGAACCTTGTCAGGTGGTAGGGCTAATAATAAATCATCCACATACCTTTTAATAAAAGGGATTTGAAAATCCAAAAGACCTAAACGGTCAGAAACCAAATCATCCAATACGAAGTTAACTAGGATGGGAGAGATTGAGGAACCCATAGGTGTACCAAATGTTTGAAGGTAAAATTTGTCATCAAAGACCAAAAAATTAGTGTCAAAAACAAGTTGCAACAGTTCTGCAAATATATCCCAAGACACAGGGCAGTTAGGTTTAATAGAATTCCAATGATTTTTTAAGGAAGTGATTACACTGGACAGAGGTAAGTTAGTGAAAAGAGATACCACATCAAAACTTACTAAAATGTAACCTTGAGGTAGTTGAAAATTGTTAATAAATTCACTAAAGTTGAAAGAATCAACAATATTAAAGTCATTGTTGTAATTATATGATTTAGATAAGATGTCTGTTAGAAATTTAGCTATTTTTATATTAGGTGAATTAATAGATGACACAATAGGTCTCATGCTCAACGTAGGTTTATGTATTTTTGGTAAACAATAGAATCTTGGAGCATATCCATCATAATTATGTAAAGATTTAGCTAAAGGTTGATCTATGATCTTAATATTTTTTAAATGTGTTATAAATTTATTTATTTTATTTGTGAATTTAGAACAAGGATTGGTAGAAAGTGGTTGATAGTATCTATCATCATCTAACAGTGATTTACTCAAACTGAAATATTGATCTTTGTCCATAAGGACAGTAGCATTACCTTTGTCACTCGTAAGAACGAGAAGATTAGGGTGGGTTTTTAAAAACGATACCGTCTCCCTGTAAATCTTATCTAACTCCGATAAGGGTTGCCTAGGGCGTTTAGTGAAATTCAACAAGATGTTGTTGGAAGAAGACCTAAGAGATAAAAGGTCGGAATTGTCCGCATGAGACAAAATATTCTCAACATCTGCTAAGATTCTACTAATTGAGTAGTCCTTGAACGAAGGTTGAAGGCCAAATTTAGGACCCAAAGATAACAGCTTCAGTATGTCAGGAGGAACCTCAATATTAGATAAATTCTTAATCCACTTAGGATTAAAGGGGATTTTCTTGAAATCAGGTGTGTCTAAGTTATTAAGTTTATTTTTAAGTTTTACCATGGATTTATTATAAATGTAATTAAATTTTTTATGTAGAGAAGCCTCAAAAGTGTCCAACAAATTGTCAGGTAGGTGACTATCCAGAAACGAAGTAACATTATTTATTTGAAAAGTTAAAGATTTAATATCTGTGTGAACCTTAGAAATATGGAAATTAAGTAATCGTACCCTCACCTGTCTATTTAAAGCTTGGCTTCTACGGTACAGTCCGTTATCTGTTGAACTAGATGTCGATGTAAGGATGTTGGAAGTGGTGTCAACAATGAAACGTGGGATTTTCTTAGTTCTCCTACACTCAAGAAGGAAGGTTCTTCTGGCTTCGGCTGTTGCTAACTTTTCTGTAAGGCTTGTCCATCTCTTCAGCTTCTTCACTGTTAGGTCTCCATGAATGCGTCTGGTGGTAGCATAGAACCCCTCTGAAACAGAAAGCATCAGAAAAAGGAGTACGACCGTCAATCCAATATATATATATATAAGGATCACTCAGACGAGTGGTGGGTTCTTATATCGGTCTCTAGGTGGAGAAATAAAAGACAAAGTCTTCTTTAAATCCCCCCACAATACTTTGTCTTTTATTTCTCCACCTAGAGACCGATATAAGAA